AGTTGTGGGGTTGTAGTCAGGGTGTCGCTTCATGAAGCTCAGGAGCCAATCCTTCCCAGCCTTTTCCTTGGTTTTGTTAAACGAATTTGGCAGTCCATTTCTAACGGCTAGTTGATAGGCCAGATTGCGTACGTCATTTGTCGTCAGACCATACATAAGAGTCTCAAGGTGTAGAACGTAATCAACCAAGTCTTTCTCCAACTCCAGTGGGAATACAGTCTGAAATGATAAATGGTAAAACCTGTCAGCTGTGCCTATGTGTACATATGGAAGAAGACAGTGTGTTAACAGTATGATACTGTAGTGTCGGCTCCGAGAGGGCCCATGCGCAACACAATGTAGGCTATACCTTTGATCATTGTTTCATTGTAAGCTACCGGTAACAACGAAGTATTGTCTGGGCTCTCTCAGCCGACTTTAGTACGTCATGTACCTTGTAATTCCCCATAATCTTTCCATGACCTTTGGCGAACTTGTTCGTGTCCTTAACTCTTCTTCGGAGAGTTGTTTTTGGAACATGAAATTCAGCACATGCTTTTCTTAAGGAGGTACCATTATTCATTGCGTCTATGGCTCCCTTCATATTCTCCTCGCTCCATGACTGCCTGTTGCTTTTTCGTTTATAATCCCGGACCATGATGAAGCTGAAAGAAAAAAAAACATGCATGTAAATATCAATATAGGAAGGGATCAAACTATAACTTATAGACCTAGGGCATTAACCATGTTTTCAAACAACCCTCCAGTCTCTAAAACTAGGAGGTTTAAACATTTGATTATGAATAGCTATTGTAAATAAACATGATAAAGTACGAGGGGCATAATGGTCCACCCGATGGGGCATAATGGACATACCGGTCCATTATGCCCCATACCAAACTGGTCCAATTTGCCCCATCGACACTTTTTCATTGACACCCCATGTACACAAATCTATTGTAGGGCCGGTGACTTCAAACTCACTTGACATGTAGCCTAGGCAATTCTATTTAAATACATGCATCAGATGTTTCCAAGGAAGCTATCATCACAGTGGGAACACCTCGACTAGAACTATGGGCCTACCTTAGATCAGGAGGGTGAAAAAAATTTCATGGCGTCTCACCTTGTGTGTGCGGGGGCCACGTCGCTCAAAGTAGCGTTTAATGTCTATGTCTATGTAAGGTCTATGTAATTTCATGGAGTCATCATGGCTGCTGGACTCTATAATTTAACAAAATCCCGATAGATGGGAGCACTTCCTTATGTGTTTTTTTTAGCTGTTCCGTTATGCCTCATGGTGCCATTATGCCCCACCTTCCCCTACCCTCGGCGCATGTCTTCCGAAACAACTTATTTTAATATCAAACTAATTTCATCCAAATATATACAAATTGTGAGTTCACATTGGTTGAAGCATCTATGGTTGAAGGGCCTGTGATTATTCGTCTTTGTTCCTAACTTTGCCGATTTTAGCTGAATAAATTATAATCGCTTAGAGATCATGACCTGGATATTTCGTCTACCCGATCAGTATTTGTTTGAGCTGGGCACGTTAACCAGACAAGTATATGCACATGTACATGTGTTGCATGTTTTGTTTTGCATGCATGTATGTTTTGCATGTTTTGTTCATGCATGTGTTGCATAAATTCTCTTTCAATACGTATAATTATTGCGTCTACAATCACGGTAAAAGGGACCATAAATTAACCGCGGTTAAATTAAATCTATTATTATACATTAATAAACTGTCTGACTACGATGGTCAACCCTACACGCGCGTATGCACAGACCATACCCGCACGCGCGCGAATGCATGCAACGCTTTATATGCACTCTCATTACCGTATGACAATAGAAATATATAGAGACACTAAGAAGTCTAACTAGTGTTATACTATAATTATTACAGTAGTCTAAACAGTAGTCTAACAGATGCATAATATCATTAATATGACCGATTGAGACAAAATTTAGTGTGAATTTCAATGCGAGAGGGAGCCACTGTACCTTACCGGGAAACGAGCGTTGACACTCTCGCACGCAACACAAGTCATGGCAGCTAAGGCGGCAGTTTTAGGGAAGTCCAAACTGAGAAGTAAACGGTAGGTTGAGCAACTGTTATGTTCATAATATGTTAGCATTAAATTGTAATGGTTACGCTTATAAATAGTAATGTGGCTGTTTTAATGAATACCATTACTGCATCTCGTGCTGTGACTCATGTCATCGTCACTCGTCAGACTCGGTGTCAGTGACAATGATACTTGACGGACGGACGGACGGACGGACGGACAGACAGACAGACAGACAGACAGACAGACAGACAGACAGAGAGAGATAGAGAGAGTGGGGGGAGAGGAGAGGAGAGGAGGAGATGCAAACGAACAAACATACATACACGTATACCAGTATTGTTATCATTTGGGCATTTCTCACATGATGTATCGTGCGCATCTCTCAAGATTAGGATATCGATCCTAATATCGTTATCATTAGTGTAGGCCTACATTATGGTTTTGTTAATATCCGTCTATTTTAGCTGGCTATCCCTATATCTTGTCTGAGTCGCTTATATCAGGATTGCGCCGTTGCCATGGGAGCAGCGCAGTCATGCGACATGGTAATCATTCTCATTGCATGATAGGACGCTTGTCGACAATTTGACAAGCCAGTGAATTTAAACGCACGATATACTGAATGAAATTGTGGTGCGTGAGTTGTAGAAATATTAATTATGATGATACCATTATCGTTATTGATTATTAAATGGCGACACATGAAATCACGTGTGAATTGCGTAATAAGAAGACATTCGTTTCTTCGCTGTGTTGCATGTCATAGCTAGGTGATCCATAAATTGATGGGTGGATGGATGGATGGATAGATGGATGTATGAATGGATCGACGGATGGATGGATGGATGGAGGGACGGACGGACGGAAGGACGGACGGACGGACGGACGGAAGGACGGACGGACGGACGGATGGATTGGTGGGTGGATTCTGAATGGATAGGCGGATGAGTAAAATATGACCGATTATTTATTTTTCATTTATTTATCATTTAGTTATATGTTCAATCAATGGTAAAGTGCGTTCATCTTCATAGGTGGTTCCAAACACTTAAAGGGATCGTTTACTCTAGGTTCTAGGGTTATGTTCAGTTAATTTAGGTTAAAATTACGCTACATAAAAAGTAGCGACTAACATAAACACTAACGACTACAGTTTGATTACAACGACGGTGGCGCCACTCTAAGCGCACGATCTGATGCGCAAAACGACTTTTTAGCCAAAGGCTACAGACCGAGGGTGTTTCTTATTTATTAATTTAAAAGCAAAAGGATTGTAATATCTTATAAACGACATATAGTTTCAGTTATATTATGAATAAATTTGTCCTAAAATGGACATCGTTCGGTTAAATAGCATTTCAGTATAAATATAATTGCACCTTTGCGATTAACCCTCGGTCTGTAACGTGCAAAATAAATTGGCAAATGCGCAACATTTTCAGGGTGGCAGCCCGGTCGCGGGTGTCAATGGCGCCGTTCAAATTTCGTAGCGTTGATGTATAATTAATTATAACAATTAAAATAATAGGTATCTGGTAACAAATACGTGTGGATATAGACGATTTGTTATACAGTAAGTACAGTTGTATGCAGTAAAATCCTAGAGTCTAGTATCCCTTTAATTATTTAATACTTCTAGACATATAAATATAACAGCGTCACCTGCACGACTAAACCCCACGTGTGTTATGAAAGCGAGCTCGTAACACGGCTTAAGCGATAGGGTAGATAAGAAGCTCGGCTAGATTTTACAAATCCTTTGTAACCTTATTGATTATTATGCGCGTTTCTACATCGTCGCTGCGTTAGATACGTGATCAAATAATATTTTAACATGGCAGGTGTAGTCAGCCAGGTGCCTATCTAGATATGATGTAAAACGTGAGCTCTACATCAATTTGTTTGCCTAAATTCAACGAAGGAATGCCAACCTTACATATATACGTCTGCAACGGATACACTTTGATACAGAACCACAAAGCAGAGTGTTTCAGTTGGATGAGAACCCCTCCTACATTTAGGAATGTCAGTGCACGACCATTTATGTTGGCATCTTAGCCAGGATTCGTTGCCATGGCAACATAAACCAGATGAGGAAGCAGCGCATTGACATCTAGCCACGACATCGAACCAGCACGAATATTCCACACACATACACACACACACACACACACACACACACACACACACACACACACACACACACACACACACACACACACACACGGCTACATTGACCGCTACTGTGTGACCAGCAGGTGACATCGCCACTCCGTCCACACACCTCCTCCCACTTACTTCCTCACACACACACACACACACACACACACACACACACACACACACACACACACA